TTGTGAGGGTATTTTGGGGCTGTATGCAAAAAATAAGCCCGAACGCTTGACTTTGGGCCGGGGCGCTAGGGCGCCTGACAGCTGCACGGGCGGGGTCTGGTGACACTCGGGCGCTGGAACCTGGGTTGGGCGATGTCGGAATCTGGACGCGCGCTTGGGGCCGTGGCCTTGTGAGGGTATTTTGGGGCTGTATGCAAAAAATAAGCCCGAACGCTTGACTTTGGGCCGGGGCGCTAGGGTGCCTGACAGCTGCACGGGTGGGGTCTGGTGACACTCGGGCGCTGGAACCTGGGTTGGGCGATGTCGGAATCTGGACGCGCGCTTGGGGCCGTGGCCTTGTGAGGGTATTTTGGGGCTGTATGCAAAAAATAAGCCCGAACGCTTGACTTTGGGCCGGGGCGCTAGGGTGCCTGACAGCTGCACGGGTGGGGTCTGGTGACACTCGGGCGCTGGAACCTGGGTTGGGCGATGTCGGAATCTGGACGCACGCTTGGGGCCGTGGCCTTGTGAGGGTATTTTGGGGCTGTATGCAAAACATCAGCCCGAACGGTTGCATTCCAGTTGCATTCATGATTGCCGTACTCAGCCTCAGGTGTGATCCCTGGCCAGGCCATGCGGTCAGTCAAGGTCATGCATTCCCCAACCATGCAGTTTGAAATGTTCACAGCTTCTTGTAAATAAACAGGCAATTCACCAGCGAGATGTACCTGTGGCATATCAACACTCATTTCATGCACACACGCAGCAGGATCATCCAGTATGCACCCATTCAGTATCCCATCACTCTCCCCAAACAGGAAGTCCTAGATTAACCCTCAGTTCACTTGGTCTGATTCCTGTTAGACCCCCCACGCTGTCTCTGTAGCAAAGCCGCGAGCTTGGCGCCCCTTCCCAGGCGTTGGCTCCGCCCGCCCCTGTTCCCCCGCTGGCCACCCCCTGTTGCTTGCTCGCCCCCCTTGGTTGGCTGCTTGCCGCCTGGTGGGTTGCCGGCGTGTCGATCACTGATGTCCCAGACAACATTTGAGTCCTGAAGGCAGTCAGGCCCATCATCCTTATCAATGTCCGAACCCTCACCCGATCATGCATCCTCCTCACCCACGGCATTCACATCATCATGTATACGATTATTATAGAAATACTCTTCTACGGGACCTTCGTCTTGATCAGGCTGCATGTGGAGCAAGGGCACATGTTCTTTGGTGGCAGAGTTTTCCGCAGTTTCTTTCTGTGCCTTCGCTACTATTTCTGTCTTCTTAAGGGCAGGTTTTGTTTTCAATGGCTTCTGGGCTACGGGCAAGTAATTGTTGATACCGCTATATATGACAGCACAACGACGGCCCAGTGTACTTGAATAACATTTCTTTATACTGGAGGACAGCACCGGGGTATGGATTACAGAGAAGGAACGGTTCGGGGAGTACGTTTTGAACCTTCGTTCATCATTACACCTAATAAGCTTGCAGCTTTTACAGCATCAGAACGTTTTGGAGCTGCTGAAAAAGTACCAAACAAAAATGCAAATTGTTGCGATTTTGACGGGGAGGGTTTACGTTCCCCGTGTGAGGCCTTGCGCCGTTCGTTTTGGGGTCCCCGTTCCATGACTCTCACGTGCACGGGGACCTCGCCATAGCTCTGCCTGCACGCAGGAGACAGTGATATTGACGAACGCTACATTATGCCAGTACTGCTGCTAGCATGTTCGCAACGCTTGCTTCCCTATTTTATGGTTTCCTCAAACAATTTGCGGGTTGCGTTTTTAGGTAACGCTAACATGTACAATCCAACATCAAGAGATGTAGAACTTAGCGTTCTAGTCAGCGTTTTATCATACTGTCCTGCTGCCGCATGCGAACCGTGGTGAGTGACAAGATTATGCATATGTGAGCGAGAAGCGCACGATCCTTATACCCTTATTTACACGATCATGGACACTATCGATCCATGATGTCATACCTCGCTTCCTAGTTGGAATATTACAAACCCATATTGTTTTCGTTATACGTGGTTTATGCAGCGTATTACATAATAGGATGGCCTACATCAACTTCTGTCTTTCAACATTTCAACACGCAACTAGCAATTAACACAGCGGTGATAAGCTAAGCCTGCACGCAGATATACTCTGTGTCCAGCAATATCCAGACATAAATGTCATTCTTCACAAAGCTATGGTCTAAGCTATGGTCTACCTACCAAAGGCAAGCACAAAAAATGCATATACGCTCAATTCGCCGCAAGACGTATGCCGCAACGGAACACCTGCTGCCACACAAACCGGTCAGTACCTATGTACCAAACCCCCGTACATCCATGAATGAAAACATGAAAACATGAAAACAAGCCAGCCCAATCTATCCTGCGAAGGGCCAGGTCAGGGTTCTGCCGCAATGAGCATTCGTTGCAGTTCCAGAACTCCTAGGGACATCCTGACTCCCAGACTCCAGCGACAGCAGCATGCAGGGCAACCCACAGCACCACGGATGGAACATTCCTGTACACTTCTACCCCACCAAACCAGCACTCAGCGCATGTAGTCAAAAACATGCGTTGAAGCATCCGTATGGCTCGTACACATGGCTCTCTCGTACTCTCCCAGCGCTTAGTTCACCTGCTGCGGCTGCGGCACTCGGTCCCGGATCCATTTGCGCACCATCTTGAGCATGGTGTCCTGGTAACGAAACTCCAGATGTGAGCTCACCGGGGTGCGACTGAGCACCTTGGTTAACATCCACTTCTCCACCTCATGGTTGGAGGCCTGATCAGGGGGAGAGAGAAGTATCAACTGCTGCTACCCAACCCAGAGAGACAGGTTAATTGCAATTGCGTTCCCTGAAATCACACGCTGGCAGTGTGGTGCTCACCGTTGGCTCGTTGTTCCAAGCCATCCGGACGTCCTTGCCGACGTGAGTGAAGTTCCAGAAGCCGAACGTGAAGGGCACACTGATGAGAGATGGCAGCAGACAAAGGGAAGCAAGCATTGGCTGAAGACGTCGGGTGCAACCGTGCAACCTTGCCTGCTTTCGACGGCAGTGGTGCCATATTGTTAGTTTACTAGACCCTATTAACAATACTGTATTGTCCAATATTGTAAATAGGGTCTAGTAAAGTCATCATGCGCAGATACGGTGTGCAGTGTGCACCAGTTCGGAATAGTGCTAGAATGTTGCGGAATAGTTGCGGCATTAATCTGCAAGACTGGTAGGTTCGCAAGGGTGGAAACCCGACGCACCTGGAGACAATGTCGTTATGGTTGTGAACCCGCCACGCGTCCGGCAGGACCGCATTGAAGTCCTTGGCGAACACGAAGTTCCCCACACGGGGCGCACCGAACGTCACCATGGCTACGCTGCCAATAGTGGGCCTGTCTCGTCAGGAGGGTACAGGGACATGCGGTAAGAAACTCATTACATAAAATGGGATGTTTTGCATTCCACAGAGTGAGGTGAGGATGGTGCGGCAATAAAGTACCTTAGTTTCCGCTTGGCACGCCTGCGGAGGGCTTCCCAAGGTGCGAGGGAAGGCCTATTCCTCCTGCCTCTTCCCTTTTTAAGGGGAACTTATGCAGAGGAGGGGCTGCATGCTCGCTAATATTTCTGGCGATGGTGCTCCGAGCCTTTGGAAAAGACATGGTGTTGCAATTAGGAGCTCTACTGCAGCCCCACCACGTCAGCATCGTTGCTTGCACGCACTTACCCTGCCTGACGGCGGCGATCGCGGTCACGCTTGTTCCACGCGATGTCGTACGCCGCGACCGTTGCCAGCGCGCCGCCCAGAGAGTGGCCCGTCACCTCCACCTTCCATGGACCCCCGCGGCCGTCAGTGCGCAGTACATCGTCCACCAACTGGAGGACCGCCGCACGTACGCTCTTGTAGCCCTCCAAGAAGCCGCGGTGCATGCGAATCTGCAGCGGGAGCAGCGGGAGAAGCGAGTGCATCGGGAGCCTCGAACAGCTGCAAATATGGATGATACCCCGTATAATCGTATAATCGTTCGATGGAGACTATTGAAAGGTCATATATACCACTGATGGCTTGTTCATATGACTGATCCGATTACCTGTGGTATACACGCAAGCACGTGCCCCATCGGTTGTGTAAACGACTGCAAACAATGAAGGATATCAGCTCCCGTGATACGCCCAGGATACAGTCCCGAAACAGCGGCCGACGTACGCCAACGCGCACACACACACACTTTTCATACACACACACAGACGAACCAACCATGGACGGATCGACCCCAGCGGGGCCCGGCTCCTTGGGGCGGATGGCGGTGTCCGGAACAGGAACTGTCCACAGGTCGATCAGCCAGTCTGCAGTCACACTCTGCAGAAGGAGGGTAAAAGGAAAGCCGACCAAATATCGTACGTTGGCGAAAGCTGTATGTAGAGTAGGTAACTTCCGCATGGATTATGATTGCATCAGGCCATGTTTCCTGTGTGGCTGATGTGGAGAGCCACGCCTACATGTTCTTACACCGCAGCGGCGGCACTCTGCTCTCAACTGGTTAACATCTCCGTTTCCATGCGTAACTCGTGTTGCCAACCGAGCCGCCCAAAGAAAATACTATCCAGCCCTGAGGCTGAGCGTCCCTTTGGCAACCCCGCTACAAACCGTAGCGATCGCGATAGCTATGTGCTTTACCGTGCCGCGGAACGCCACCACCACCCGCCGATCATCAATGTTCCGGAACACCCAAGCCTGCGTGCATGGTACGGCGTGTACGGCAGTGAATAAATTTACGTCGTCTCGTGCCGTCCATAATGTTTTCAATGGTCTATGCACAGGGTCTTTATAATCGATAAGACCGAGACATAGATTGTCTTTAAACACTCCTCAATTGTACAGACATCCATCCCGTTATTATTCTTCTCTCCGACGTCTTTAAAATCACTTCCGTTTTTATACGACGTACCTCCGTATTTGTACGGCAGTTGTTAATAAATGCCAGTGGGTAGAGATCTCCCACCCTTCCTCCAGCCGCCTCCATGACGTCCTTAAGGTACTCCCAGGTAACCTTATCGTAAGCTGTATATATACAGACAAACAAGCAGGTCACATGTATGCTCATGTTTATTTGCATGCTGGTCAAGATGCAGCAGGTTCATACAACCTGCTGTGATGTTCATGCAAGCAACTGCAGGCGAGTGGCAAAGGTTAAGGTCTGGCTTCTGCTCCCGGCGCGTCCGGGTTCAAATCCGCCTGCCGATCTCTCGGGGTGTTTAAGTGATGAAATGGGAGGTGCCCCCCATGTTGTGGACGGTGTAGGACGTGATAAACTCAACTTGCGAGCTGACCAGGAACTAAGATGAAGCGCCGTTGATCCGCTAGATTTGGTTGGATGCCGGTGATGAGTTGCCAAACTCAAACGAGTACATTCTGAAGTCGGATGGGGTGAATGGATTAGGGTGCCCCTCTAGCAGGGGAGAGCAGGGAACTGCCTCGGGAAGGAGGCCACTGGTGAAGCTTAACCACCCTGTAACAACATCAACATCAACTGCACGACTGAGGCAAGAAGCCTATCTCCTTGCAGGGTAGTACCTTGTCGACGGTCGGTTGTATATACTGACACCTCCCGCCCCACGCCGAAAATCATCTCCCCGCCCATGCCGCATGCGACGTGGACCCTCCCAACCCACCTGACCGACGGAGCCACTCGACAACATTGAGGCCAATCTGCGGCGGGGGTGAGTCGCGTCAGGAGTAACAACAATGTAACACATATCACCAAACACCACATGACTCAGCACTGTCCCTTGCATTAATGCCTGTAGCCGTTAGCCACGAATCCAGAACCCTGCCACCGTACACCAAGTTCCCATTCGCCTGTCCCAAGCCGGCGTCCTAATCCCCATCACCCGTACTCCCCTACTCTCACAAGTAGGGGAGGCGTCTATTAAAGCCGGGCGACCGATGGAATGGCTAATCCTGACATTGTAGCGCTACGCGCCATCCTTCCTCACACGCCTGAGTGCGGCATGCCTGGTCTCACAGCAGGCCTCCCAAAAGGGGCCCCGTAGGGGGACCCGCGGACTAGGACACCCGGCAGCCAAGGTCCCTGTCGTACTTAGTACCCGTGGGTCCCCGCAGGCTGGGCATTCACAAACGACGTGCACAACTTCCAACAGCACCGCAGCTGTCATATCACGACTTAAGAGTACCGATACCAGGATGCCCAGGATACTAAGCTGAATACGCAATCCCGGGTATGCGTGTTCTGCTTACCTGAAACACATATAGTTTTCTACGTACGATACTCTTCTGGGTGATAAGACACATCCCACCTCCATCGGCGCATCCCACGACATCTCCAAGGTCTTGCAGGTCGTGAGAGCTTCAAGGTGGTGCGGGTCCGCGGTCGTCATTGGGCGCATACGGCACCTGATGGTGATGGAGCTATCCCCAATGTGGCCTCCAGTTAAACTCACTGCGGCACATACATACAAGCGCGCACAGTGGTGAGCCGTTTCCTTAGGACATGCCTCAACCTGACCAGACGTGCGAGAGCATGCGTGTGTTCCATGGGAAGGAGCAACAGTCACCGCGCTCCCCACAAGAGCTGCTATACTCCACAAATCTTGCCTTTTTTTCGTACCCTAACAGGCTGCTGGAGGATCGGTGTTTCAAGCAACGCAACGACACTAGCGCACAGTAAGCAGCAGACAGCAGTACATACGTACTGTGCAGCAGCAGCCTTGTCTCGCGCAGGTCTTCGCCCTGCTGTAGCAGCTCATTCAGCCGCAGTGTGGCGTTGCCCAGGGGATACTCGTTACGCAGCGGACGGTGGGTGCTGGGCGCCTCGTCGTACAGCTCGATACGGAGCTCGTCATTCGTCGGATCTCTGGGGTGGCAAACCGAAATAAGGCAGAGTGGTCCCTATACACAATGAATGGCTTAACGGTGATCATGAGCGCTTAACGGTGATCATGAGCGGCAAGCACCAGTGCGCCCCCACCCTGCCCCACGGCGGGTACAATCCCCTTACACCCTTTTGTATGCTGGTGGAAAAACGTCTGTAAAACTATCATTTAGACCTACCTTTTCAGGCCTATCTATTTTACCATGGCACGGTCTACACACGCACGGTCCTAAATATGAATCTATACGATCTATTTCTTGGTCCTATCTAATACACGATGACCCTGTCTGTCTAAGACGACAAACATTTAACTGTCGAAGCACGACTTGCTGAGGCATTCTTCTATGCACACAACCGTCATGAGAACAGAAAATATGCAATTTTCAAGTAGCTCATGAGCAAGGGTTTCGTATTTGTATCATCCAGCCTGCTGCTGCTTACCGAACGGGGAAAAGCATGGCAGGCCTGTTCGGATCCCACACTGGGCTGCGGCTGACGGTGCTGCTATTGAATTTCAGGGGCCGGGAGCGCGCCTGCAGAGTTGCCGGGCTGACCATGGAGACCACCGCGTAAGGACTGGGGGCTTCCAGGAGCTCCCCGGGTACTCCAGCGGGCAGGTCGTCCGCCCTGACCAGGTACACCTCCAGAATACCCCAATACGCTTGGCTTAGAAACTCCCTGCACGCACAGATGCGCGAGGCACTGGGCTAATGCAAGCTTTTGCAGATTTATCTGGTGCGGAAGACCCCCGGAGTGCGGCATACCACAGTTCGACGCCCTATCTAAAGTCTGGACTTCAAACAAACTGCAGCAGTTACCGCCTGCCAATTGTAAAGCCATACTTAGGTCAACCGCAGTTAACCTTACCTATTCGCCGGCAATGCGTGGACGGACCCAACCACATCTTTATATTAAGTTTTTTCGATCGCCTATAGGTCACAACCCCATATAGCATACGAGGGCGGTCCCTACCCGTTATAAGAGCGTGTGGCCTTTAGGTGATCAAAGTTCACAAACGGCATTTCCCGTCATCGTCACGCTTGGGGCAAGAGTGGACACCCCATCTATCATGCTCATCACTTCACCTACTTCTCCATTACGATAACCGTCGTGTCCTTCACGTCAAAATCCTCGAAGCGATTCACCGGCTTGGGATCACGGTACGCCCCGAACGCAGCCCCCGCCAAGCCCACGGCCCGAGGCAAGTCGAACTGTAGGCCGCCTGCACACACATATATATATATATATATGAAATTGGCAAGATATATATGAAATTGGCAAGAAGGGAGGAATACAGCACTCTCGATACATTTCCACATGTGGAAAACGTATCGAGGGATAGTTATCACAAGCACGCTTGTAAGACTACTATTTCGGGGGAACCCCGAAACGCTCGGTACGAAACACTTCGCAAATTATTACCGCGAACAAGTCAACATGGAATGCGCTGATGGGCTTACCGGGTGTTGTCATGGCGCTGCGTCCCTGTTCGTTCGCTTGGAAAAGAAATTGGAAACGCGGCTTGTGCAAACACCTTGTGTGTGGGTGGCACCTCGCAAGCGAGTCCTTTACCTGTCGGGGGAACGTCCGTGCCAGCTGATAATGAATGAATTGAACTGTTGAATTGAATTGTTACAGAGAGGGAGGCTTCTGGGCCGCTTGAACACATAATGAATGAACGGGGACGTGCGTTTGCCATGTCTCGTATGCACATACAGCAACACGCTGCTTCTGCGACCTCCCACAGGAAACATATCCAGGCAATCGTAAAATACCGGCGGACAAGCGTGAACTAGTGTATGCAATGCACATGCTGTGAGGAAACTGGGTTCGCAAGTACCTGGTTAAGCTTTCACGCCGTGCAGCAGTTAGCAATCAACCACTCGAAGGACAATTCGAGCACAAGGCATGTAATCCCTGCTCTACACACTGAGTAAAGAAAGTGTTGGTGAGACGCTATCTCACTGGGACCTAACAGACACAACTGTGAGTCATCGGCCGTTACACGTACTCGGGAGGTCCGCTACCTGCCACCGATAACTTCTTGCCTAGGCATACACGTGTAAATCTGAGGTGACACTTCCGATAAACAGCAGAGCCTTTTAAAGGCTTGGAATAGCCTATCCTGATGGACGAGCTGGCAGTACTCTAGGACCTGCCAGCCGTTGCACACAGAAGTCCGACGGGTGGCTTTCCATATGCCACAACCGATACTCACAGCAGTCTGACGGGTGGTCACAACCGTTACTCACAGCCCAATACCGTTACTCACAACAACCTGACATATTACCTTAACAGGCCACGGGGCGACACGACATCCCTTCGCATCAACAGGAAGTACCCATGCTTATAAGCACGGAGACAAGTGCGTGCGTTGTAAGGTTACCTGGCTAGGGATTGCTTTCCGAAGTTCCTCGCTGACGAGTCCTAAGCGTCTCTTTGGCTGGGAAACGTTGGCATTGATTGGCGGCCGAGGGGTTCACAGGGTTCGCTGCCTTGGATCGATGTCTGTCGGTGTGTCGCGTCGTATAACTGTAGCTTCGTACTTTGGCTACGCGCTAAGTCTGATACGGACTCATGCAGCTTTAATAGGTTGTTCTCACTGATCGGGACACTAGCATTAAGTTCAGAAATCTCACGCCGGGCACAGCGAATCACCCAAGCGATAAGAAACTAGTTTAATACATTAATAGGAAGTAAAAGTTCTCCAAGAAACTCCCGTAAAGGGGCTCCGTACGCGAGGGCCCAGTGGAAACGCCTCGTACACTAACAGGGTGTTTCCACTTGGCCAAACACTAACACTATGTTCGATGCTCTTCGTCCCGGACTCGTCTCTCACCGTTCTAAATGCGTATATTGACATAACTAATGAAAGAAACAAATATTCATCAACAAATTGGAGGTTGGGGCACTCCTGGAGGAGAACCGTAAGGCCTTGTGGAAACACCCCGTACACTAAGTCCACACTAGCGCGTCACAAAGTTAATGGGACCTCAGACCTGCCATTAACTTTCAAACCTAGCACGAACTATTTGGCGGGCAACTTTTAGGAGCTGGTTTGTGCCTTCTGATCACAGACTTTAAATCTGAGCAGCTTTTTTTCTGGATATTCTGCCGTCGTCAAGCCTGCTGGGGCTGATAAGCAGCAACAATGCACCGGCGTAGCCCGTGAGGGCTTCCAGGAAAAGCCTACGATCCATATTTTCCTTACAGACCTTGACAATTAGCAGCAATTAATACCTGGCACTAAAACATTCAAATTACGAATACCATCTTGGTTTCGGCGCTCTCTAGTGCAGCTAGTGGAAACGCCGTCACACTAGCACTACACTAAGTCCACACTAGCCCATAGTGTACCGAACATAGTGTGCGCTCAAGCGGAAACACCCTGTAAGGGCCGGGCTCCATTGACTTGTTTGTTGGCGTCTTTTCAAATTTTCGCGCGCGACACATCGCCTTTTCACGCTTTTCTTTTCAATGTTGCATTATCTATAAAAAGAAATTATAGATGTTAAAAGAGGACGAAGGAAGCTGTGGCGACAGCGAAGAACGGAGGGCCCGTGTGGAAACGGCCGTTTCCACACGGAAACGCCCGCGGGCCCTCGTTAGGCCCAGGGATCTAGCCGAAACGTGACCAGGTTTGCGGAAACATTTTGTATTTGCGGAAACGCTGCGGAAATTTGCGAAAACTATAGATTGTCTATATAAAGCTATTTTTTGCTCTTTGCAGTGTTGCGATAATATGGACAATCTCAAACGCGCTCTTGGCAATGCGGTTCAGTCTCGTGGGATCTGCAAGCATTCCGTCTCTCTTCGAGCCCCAATCCCCCAGGCCAGAGCACCCTTATCGTAGACCTCCCCCATAGTGCTTGATTTTGACGGACTCGATTGGTACGCTCGGATCGGGTCACTCCGATGTTGTTTGCAGGTTGCAGAGCAGTCCTTGCTCTTGTCATAATGTCTTCTAATCTATCAACATGTTTCCAAACGTTGGTAGCAGGCCTTCCACCCTCTTTGAGCTGAAACACAGTCGATCTCTCGAATGTCGTCAGCCCCAAGGTCGGGGGCAGTGATTGTAGACATTTACACTAAAGTATTATCAATTGTGAAGTAAACGCACGTACATATATGGCAAACGCAGGCGTAGAATATGTTTTGACTTTCCGCCGTACTGCAAACTATTTCTCTTTCCGCACTTTCTTCGTTCTAGGCCCTATGAGGAAAGCGGGAAGAAACCTATTTCCGCAGATCCCTGGTTAGGCCTCCAATAACTCTATAAATTTTATCGGCACTTCGGACCAGCCCATAAACTTTCACAAAGCCAATAAACGTTGGCGCGAAAATTTCTTTGCTCTGTTTTGAAATCGGCTTACGCCCAGTCCCCTTTTGATATCTAGGCTACGCTTTGGACTGCTCGCCAGCCAAAGCCGTTGACTTTCGAGATGTCGAGATGTCGACATGTCGCAGAACAACCTGCCGTCCCAGTTTCCCACCGCAACTTTGCCCACGCAACTTCACAGTATCCTTCAGTCTACAATGGCGCTGTAATGTTATGAAGTTAGTTAACGAGCGTTTGAAACGCGTGTGAGACCATGTCGTAACTTCGGAGCTAGCTAATGTTGGGAAGTTAGTGTGCGGCCAAGTGAAACACCCTGTAAGCCATGTGTACCCGCCATGTGTACCCGCCTACTACGCCTACTTCAGATTATAGCCCGTAGCCATGATCGGGCATATGCGTAGTATTGATCGTGAATGGGCATGCATGCGACTTCGTAAGGCGGAATGGGCGGCGGCCGTGCGTTAGCCATCTTAATAGCAGCAGAACTATTACTAGAAATATATGCCCCTGGTTTCTCTAGTTCCCCTACTGAATATCAAGTCTTCCAATATTTTATCTGAATCTTTCGCCTGTGAGCCATTTCATGCATAGGATGCGCTCATGTGTGTGATATGCGGCATGACGTCAACGTCCCTACCTATTACACGAAAGTGGTGAGCAAACCTACGTAGAGACCTCGCATTACTAGGGCACAGGTTCTGTACATAATGGATGTCACCTGTGCCTGGTGGGGATAGGGCTAGAGGCTGCATGGAAGCATCCTTATCCACATAGATCGACTGCATGCTTCATCAACCACAGGAGTTGTTCATGGCCGTAGGGCCTGGCTTGCTTGTCGTGTTTCATTTCCGTCTTTGCCTGAAAGCACGGATTCATCCTTTAGCTTACCTCCACCCCTTCACGTGCCGGGGTGTGTCTACAACTATACAGCGATTTGTTTTGAACCATTTGCGCGAGAGGGTGGCAGAGCGGTCAGGATGCGGCGGAGGATCGGGCACAGAATACGGATGGGAAAGACTAGGATATGGCGTGAGAAGATGTATCTTTGCGCCTTTCATGTCTCGGGGTTCTCGTCATAGTTGCTGCCTTGGTCGCCTGTAAGGAGGTGTTTCCACTTGGAGTAAAAGATATCGGATAATGGGTTAAATGGAAATGTCCCGGGGATTTTTGCGCACGGATTAGGAGGACCAATGATGGCAGGCTTATTGACAGTTGTATGTACGCCCGCATACGACCTTTTCGCGGAACAGGGTGTTTCCACTTGGCCGCACACTAACATTAAGTTCAAAAAATCTCACACCTGGCTCAGCAAATCACCCAAGCGATGAGAAACTAGTTAAACACATTAATAGAAACTAAAAGTTCTCCAAAAAATCAAATTGCCCACATTCCAGCAAATTTCAAATACCAACTTGTGAATCGCGGATTACTACGGGGATCCAGGGGGATCTGTTGTTGACTTCCGGCCAGAACACTAACGGCTGTACGACAGATAAGATGGAATGTTTGGTATAAAGGAGATGATGTTCTGACTGAAAGCTTGTTCTGTGATACCTGTAACGGTTAAGGTTGGCTTTACCTACACAGTTCCACTCGCCTATATCTTAACAGGTTATGAGCCCCGCGCCGCCGCGGCAAGCGAGCGAGCGTTTTGCTTAAGTACTGTGTCCGAACTTGCTGGCTTAGCAACTCTCTGGCTTAGAGATAGGACAAGTATGGGGAAGGATAATGATGTAGAGCGATTAGATAGCTACGCCAACTATTTTCGCTGGCGGACGGCCATGAAGTACTGCATGTTGATTAAGTGCTCGTCCTGTAGTGTAGTACGGCAAGTGCGGCGCGGGAGGAGCAGACCGGAATTGGCCAGAGGACAGTGACTGATACGGTAGTGCGTTACAAAGATTAGCTGGGAACAAAGCGCTGAATCCAGACAACGCTAGTTCGCCAGTCAACCGTGCAAGCAAGCGCAAGTCAGAACGTCGTCTGTTGGGGATTTTGAATTGTTTAAATAGTGATTTACTTTGTATTCGGGACCCAGCTCAATAGTAAAGTAGATAAGGCGATTTGACGTTGCTGGCATAT